CCCGGTCCGTCCCCTACTCGACACGCGACGGCCCGCTCTCATCGTGGGAGCAGCTCGAGCAGTCCGTCGACAACCGATGGGTTCAGGACTCGGACCCCCGAGCCCAGCCCTCGAGCCAATTCTTTTCCCGAGGTTACGAATCCATTTTATCGACTTCCCTTGTCTACATTATTCCATCGATCAGAGGTTGTTCGTCTTGGAGACCTGATGCGGTTATGAGTACGACCGGACGTGGGAGGCACTCGGTCCTCCGGATTTTCAACGACCACCGGGGCGCACCGGACACTACGCGATGTGCGGTGCTCTTCCAGCCGCTGGACCCTACCTCCGACTAAGTCGTTTCCAGGGTGGACGGGCCGTTAAACAGAAAAGATAACTCTTCCCAAGGCCCCCATCGACATCTCCAAACTCCATAACGTTGCCGTCAGCCGCCATGTCCCGATTCAGGAATTTTAACCCGATTCCCTTTCGAAGCTCGCACACGAATGCACTATCGAACGAGCTTTCCCCGTCTCTTAGGATCAACTAACCCATGTGTAAGTGTCGTTCACATGGAACCCTTCCACTCTTCGGCCTCCAAAGTTCTCATTTGAATATTTGCTACTACCACCAAGATCTGCAACGAAGGCCGCTCCACCCGGGCTCATGCCTCGGGGTTTGCAGCGACCATCGTGCCCTCCTACTCATCGCAGCCTCGGCACTTGCCCCGACGATCGGGTATAGGTCGTGCGCTTCGGCGCCATCCATTTTCGGGGTTAGTTGATTCGACAGGTGAGTTGTTACACGCTCCTTAGCGGATTTCGACTTCCATGACCATCGTCCTGCTGTCTTAATCGACCAACACCCTTTGTGGGTTCTAGGTTAGCGCACAGTTGGGCACCGTAACCCGGCTTCCGGTTCATCCCGCATCGCCAGTTCTGCTTACCAAAAATGGCCCACTTGGAGCTCTCGATTCCATGGCACGGCTCAACGAAGCAGCCGCACCGTCCTACCTATTTAAAGTTTGAGAATAGGTCGAGGGCGTTGCGCCCCCGATGCCTCTCTAATCATTGGCTTTACCCGATAGAACTTGCGCCGAGCTCCAGCTATCCCGAGGGAAACTTCGGAGGGAACCAGCTACTAGACGGTTCGATTAGTCTTTCGCCCCTATACCCAAGTCAAATGAACGATTTGCACGTCAGTATCACTACGGGCCTCCACCAGAGTTTCCTCTGGCTTCGCCCCGCTCAGGTATAGTTCACCATCTTTCGGGTCCCGACAGGCATGCTCTCACTCGAACCCTTCTCGGAAGATCAAGGTCGATCAGCGGTGCAACCCTCGATGGGATCCCGCCAATCAGCTTCCTTGCACCTTACGGGTTTACTCGCCCGTTGACTCGCACACATGTTAGACTCCTTGGTCCGTGTTTCAAGACGGGACAAATGGGGAGCCCACAGAGCTGATGCCCGAAGCATGCTGGTGTCGAGGCACGCCGAGACGGCGCATGCTATAGTCCACAATTACGATGATAGTGTCTCCGTAAGTGTTTCAAAAGCTCAAGCTTGGGCCGCCACCATAATCCGCATCGGTCCACGCCCCGAGTCGATCGACGGACGAGCTAGCATCGTTCCACATCCGATCGAGGTGCATCATTGACCCCCATCCACTTCCCTCTCGACAATTTCAAGCACTCTTTGACTTCTTTTCAAAGTCCTTTTCATCTTTCCCTCGTGGTACTTGTTTGCTATTGGTCTCTCACCCGTATTTAGCCTTGGACGAAATTTATCGCTCGATTGGGGTTGTATTCCCAAACAACCCAACTTGCGGATAGTGCCTCATGGTGCAATAAGGGTCCAGCCACGACGGGGCACTCACCCTCTCCGGTGCCCCCTTCCAGGGGACTTGGGCCCGGTCCGTCACCGAGGATGCTTCTCCATACTACAATTCAAACGCCATAGGCGCTCGATTCTCAAGCTGGGCACCTCCCGGTTCGCTCATCGTTACTAAGGGAATCCTTGTAAGTTTCTTTTCCTTCGCTTATTGATATGCTTAAACTCGGCGGGTAGTCCTGCCCGACCCAGGGTTGCAGCGAGAGCATCCGAGCAAAGTCGATGATGCTCGAGGGTCTTGGATATCCCAAAGCGTAACGAGGCATACGTACAATCGCTTTCAAGGGTTCTCTCAACCATCGATCGTCGTGGCAGCCATCGTTGAGGACTCAATTTTGGGCTAACCATGAGCGAAAGCACACACGAGAGACCGCATCCGCCCCCGCCCTCATTAGTCGAGAGGGGTTTTGGGGTGACGATGCATGACACCTGGCAGACATGCCCTCGGCCATGAGGCCTCGGGCACAACTTACGTTCACAAACTCGATGGCTCACGAGATTCTGTAATTCACACCAAGTATCGCATTTTGCTACGTTCTTCATCGATGTAAGAGCCAAGATATCTATTGTCGAAAGTCGTTTAGGTTATCACAAATTGGAGACGCACCCTCGGAGCACCCTTCGGCGATGGGGGTGTGGTCTTCGTACTCTAGTTCCTTGGTGCTTCTTGCGCCGGGGTTTTTTTTGAGCTGCGTTGGGTGTAGATGCACCCGTTCGCGACCCCGAGGACGCAGGGGCAATAGCCCCCTGCAGCCCTAGCATGCTCGACCACAAGTTCGTAGGTCCTTCTACCGGGCAGCTTTCGATAATGATCCTTTCGCAAGTTCACGTCCGAAAACCTTTTTACGACTTCTCTTTCCTCTAAATGATAAGGTTTAGCGGACTTCTCGTGACGTCACCGATGGCGAACCGCCCATGTCACCGCGATCCGAACACTTCACCGGACCATTCAATTGGTAGGAGCGACGAACGGTGTGTATAAAGGGTAGGGACGTAGTCAATATGAGCCGATGACTCACGCTTACTAGGAATTCGTCGTTGAAGACCAACAATTGCAATGATCTATCCCCATCATGATGAAATTTCAAAGATTACCCGAGCCTATCGGCCAAAGCTATAGACTCGTTGAATACATCGGTGTAGAGCGCATGCGACCCGGAATATCTAAGGGCATCACGGACCTATTATTGCCTCAAACTTCCCGGGCCTGGAAGGCCATAGTCCCTCTAAGAAGTTGGTCGCGGAGGGTCCCCTCCGTATAGCTAGTTAGCAAACTGAGGTCTCGTTCATTAACGAAATTAACCGGACAAATCGCTCCACCAACTAAGAACGGCCATGCACCACCACCCATAGAATCAAGAAAGAGCTCTCGGTAAACCGGCTATCCTTGGCTCGATGGATATAGTTAGTCCTATGCGGAATGCCTACCCGGGGGTCGAAAAATGTTAGACAATATCCGCTTGGTCCAGGAGTTACTTCGGATGTACGGTCGGAAACGTTCTTCTCCGAGGTGCCTACCGAAGATTGATTTCTGTAAGGCCTTTGACTATGTGCAGTAGGGTTTCCTAAAACGACTCCTATTACAATTAGGCTTCCCGGACATATTTGTTGGTTGGATTATGACATGTGTTGAATCGGCCTCCTACTCCATCTCGATCAATGGGAGCTTGTTTGGGTTCTTCTCAAGAAAAGCGAGTGTTAGGCAAGGTGACCCCCTCTCTCCCTACCTATTTGTGGTCTCGCATGGACTACTTCTCTCGCTTACTCGTAGGTTGCTGTAAGGAATTCTAGCTTTCGCTTCCACCCTCGATGCAGGATCCGTGCCATCACCCACCTAGCATTCGCATATGACGTATTGTTACTTAGCCGCGGAGATATTGCCTCCATCGGGATTTTGACTAGCCAGCTGCTTATCTTTGGGAGTGTATCCGGCCTAGCCATCAATGTGGCCAAATCCTCAATCTTATTTGGTGGGGTTAGAAGTGACTTGAAAGCCTCGATCCTTCAAGAAACGGGGTTTTGTGAAGGTTCTTTCCCCTTCAAATACCTAGGGGTCCCTCTAAGCCTCCATCGCTTGCTTGCTAGCCGGCTTGCCCCTTTGCTATATAGTCTCGATTCCACGATCCGAGCTGGATGGGAAAACATCTATCCTATGCGAGTAGGCTAGAACTCCTCGCATCCGTCCTCTTCGACATGATACAATTCGGCTTGTTATTTTTCCTATGCCTCGCTGTGGTTATTGCACGTATTACCGGTATGTGTCGAATTTTCTATGGACAGGAGATGTCAATAGGAGCTCTTCGGCTTTGGTGGTTTAGAAGAGCCTTTGTTCCCCTAAATCAAAAGGGGGCCTCGGAGTCTTTGATATCAAAGTCAAAAACCAAAGTTTTTGGTCAAGAGGCTCTAGGACATACACCTCAAGGCCGACTCTATTTGGATTCGTTGGATCCACCATTTCTACTTGCAAGGCTATCGAGTATGGGATGCCGCTCGCCCATCGCAATGCTTCGCCGTTGTGGAAAGCCATTCTTCATGTCAAAGACTTGCTTGTTGTGAAATATGAGAGTAAAGATGCAACTATATGTGAGTGAGCTTGCTAGGTGGAACTCGGGAGAGGGAAGTTTCTCTAATATCGCATATACGCAGCTTCGGCCAGTAGGGGCGCACGTGTGCTCGGGGTAGAGTGATTTGGGAGTCATGATCCCCGCCTCGACATTCCTTTATTCTCTGGCTTGCTATTAGGGGAGCCTTAAAAACTAAGAACCGCCTCCGGTTTCTACCCACCACCGACGCATGCCTCCTTTGTGGCCAAGCTTCTAAGTCACTTAACCATTTGTTCTTCTCCCCGCCCTTTGATGGCTAACCTTTGGTTGAAAATCAAGCAATGGCTCCATATCAACAGAGGTATGAATATGCTCACTAGCGCGATCGGAGGCCTATCTTGTCGTCGTAACAACCTTGAAGTGAAAATGAGGAGAGTGGCCCTCGGCATCACGGCTTATGTCATCCGGGAAGAGAGAAACAGGCGTGCCTTTGATGCCTTAGCCAGCACGGTAGACAATGTGTTTCATAAATTCCCGATACTCTTCTACATGGTATTCTACTATCATGAATCGGACCCCCTCCTCTTGTATGTGGGTGCGCTTTGATCTCCTACTTGCTCAACCCATCCCCAGAGCTATTTTTGAGCCGTTGTTCCGGGGTCGTATTCTGGTCGGGGGTTGCACCGGCTTTGGGCTCGTCTTGTCCTCGCTCTAGTTCACTACTGCCGCCCCTATGGCTATCCGTCGCTCGCCCCTCAGCTACTGCTACTGATTGGTCGAGTTGTTTTGAGCTTGTTGTTCTAAGGTCGTGTTCGAGTCGGGGTTGCTCTCGTCCTACTTTGGTTCACTACTGCCGGCTCCTTGGCTACTGCTCGCTATTTGGTCGAGTTGATAGGTCTTACTTCCGCTTGTGGTTTAGCTATTTCGGGTTTGGTGGTAGGCCTACTTGATTGTTTGTGTGGGCTCTAGCCTCCGGTTTGGTTGGGGTATGCGTTCTAATCTCTGGCTTCTAGTTTGGTTGGGTATGGGTGATATTGTCATTGGTCCGGTCGTTGATTTCTAAGGCTCTCTAGTTGGTTTGCATTTGGGTACTATGCCTCTGGTTGTGGTTGCGTAGTCTACTTGTTTGTTTATATGGGTGAGCCTTGATCTCCTACTTGAGTGCTCGAGTACTTTTGGTCCGGTTGCTCTGTTTGGTCCTTATGGTTCGAGTCCACTTGGGTTGTGGTCGCTCAACCCGTCCCTCGGGTTGTTTTGAGCTTGTTGTTCGGGGTTGTGTTCGAGTCGTGGGTTGCTCTCGTCCCGCTTTGTTTCACCGCTCGCCGACTCCTTAGCTATCGTTCATCGTTTGGTCGAGTTGATTGGTCTTGCTTTTGCTCGTGGTTTAGCTACTTCGGGTTTGGTTGTAGGTCTTCTTGTTTGTTTATGTGGGTGAGCCTTGATCTCCTACTTGAGTGCTCAAGTACTTATATTCGGTTGCTCTGTTTGGTCCTTCGGGTTCGGGTCCACTTGGGTTGTGGTCGCTCGACCCGTCCCCCGGCCGTTTTGAGCTTGATGTTCCGGGGTCGTGTTCGGTAAGGGGTTGCACATTTGTTTGGGCTCGTCCCGTCCCGCTTTGGTTCACTGCTCGCCGGCTCCTCGGCTACTCGCCGTTGTTTGGTCAAAGTTGATGGGTCTTGCTTCGCTTGTGGTTTATCTATTTTAGGTTTGGTTGCGGGTTTACTTGTTTGTTTGTATGGGCTCGGCCTCTAGTTTGGTTAGGGTGGTCTCCTCCTGTTCGTGCCTTATTTATTGGTGGCCCTAGTCTCCCCTTCCGATCCATGCAAGTGCTCCCTTCGCTTCGTTTCGCACTGTGCAGCCGCTTCGTGCGCTCCTTTGTTTTGGCCTACTCATGGCTTAGGTCTCGCCTCCATTCTTCCGGCTCTCTCGCCTAGCTCGATGCTTCGCTCCCGCTAGCTCGGTCCCCCTCTTTTATCTTGTGGTCTCTTCCCTTGTCCTGCTATGTGGATAGGCGAGCCCTCCAGCCTTATAGCCTCTTCGCTTGCCTTGACAATGCCGCTTCGCGCGGTCCCTCACTTCGCTAAGCTTGTAGTTACCTCTGTAAATTCATGGCTGGTCATTTGTACATTGTTGGTTTTCATTTAGTGCTTAATCAGCAAAGCTTTTGTATGCTCGGGTGTGCCTATGTAAATGGTCCCAGCTTAGTCGAACATGGTCCCTATCTGATTTTTCTCGAAATCCCTACAACCGTTTTGTTTCCTTGAACAACCACCTAGGGCTATCTCTTTTTTGTTTCTTTGGGAGCCTCGTTCCTAATTTTTGTACATCCCGTAAATGCTACTCTTGCTGGTTATTTTCTAGCTGGTTTCCTTTGATTTATATACTTACCTTTAAATCAAAAAAAAAAGGAAGAGCTCTCAGTAAGAAAGAGCTCTCATTAGTAAGCAAAGCCCAGAGTGAGAAAGAAGAGAGAGATGCTCTCCTCCTTCCATGGAGCTCTTTCCCTCTAGATCTATCTTGCTTCCATATGGAAAGCTTTAATCTAACTCGCTTCCATTTTCCATGGTATAATTTCTTATTCTCGTTCCATTTTCTTTGTCCCTCTCTCGTTTAGTTTACCAAAAATTTTCTCTCGCCCAATATTTCTCTCTCTCCCCGACATTTTGGCTTCTTTTCTCTAATGGCAAAGAAGAAATGTAAATCCATAGCCACAACTCCTAAGGTTGCTATATGGAAAAATTCGACTACCCTATCATTTCCCTAGAAGCCCTAGCCTCATCGGTCCATCCTCCGAAGGAATCCACTCCCCTATCTCCCCAATCTCCCAAAACCCTAGATCACAAAAGGGATATCCTCTCTAAATCTTCCCTTAACCAATCCCAAGCCCTGACCTTCGGTCATGTATCTATTGAGGTCAAGGACTGCTCGGATGAGGACAAGTTCAAGTGAAGAGAAGGTGGGCCATTCGATCTAGAAGGACCGCACCGGCCTCAATCCCATTTCTTCAGACACAAGACCGCCTATTTTGGATTCAGGGGAAGCCACCGATACTCGCCAAATTGCCATAGGCTCTTGATCGCATTGTAACTCTCCACGTGCCCCCGGCATAAACTTGCTCGTAAGTCACCCCTTCCTTGTCCCCATTGCTAGAGACAAACAAGCAAGTGGAAACAGGGGCTCTCGAGTGTGAAGCATCCAAAGCAAGGACATTCGTATCTCCTCCTCCTCCAGCTAGCAAGTGGAGAGACTTGTTTGTAAGTAATCGAAACTCAGCCTTGTGTCCTAAATTGTCTCATTTTTCTACTATCACTCAATCGAAACAATGCATTTTGCTTAATGATGACACCAAATGTGAGTTCGGAAATCTTGCCTAGTGGGTTATGTTGTGGGCAAAAGCCCGTGTTATCGTGCACTAAATGGAATCATTAAGGATACCTAAAAATGTGCTCGCTACTCTAACAATTCATGAATCGAGATGGTTAATCTATAAATTCCCATCTAAAGAAGAAAAGGTCTCGATGCTTAATGGAGGACCCTATCTAATTTATGGGTGAGCTTTGATTTTGAGACCAATGGCTAAATACTTTGATTTCTCTAGCTCGAAATGGCCATCGTCCCTGTTTGGGTCAAGTTTCCCAACCTCGCCACTAAAATGCTGGTCATCTCTCTCGTTTGTCAAAGATTGCAAGTATGCTTGGCAAACCAATCCAATGTGACAGATTGACCGCCTTAATGGATCGTCTCTCCTATGCTGTAAGTACTTGGTAGAATCGAATATTATGGAGACTCGCCTCGGATTGTCACCATAGTATTACCAAATGGCACAACCCTCTTACAACCAATAGTGTATGAGTCTCTCCAAATACACTCGTAAAAAATGCCGTATTCTTGGCCACTCCACACAAGCGTGCAAAAATCGGACTACTCGAGATTTGACTAAAGACACTACAAATGACGGTGAAGTAGAAGGCGGATAAGCCAAGTCCAATGTGTTCCAGCAAGTAGATGATTCCGCCAATGCTTGCCATATAGAAGCCCAAATGTATATCGACCCTATGCTCCTTGAAGTAGCGGATGCGTCCAAGGAATGGGAGATAGTGCATAGACACAAACACTCATACAGGGGTGCTAATAAAGGGAAAACCACACTCGCTTAATTTTGATTCGGGACGGGAGCCACACACCGACTCTAGGCCACTTGAGCCTCGACCAAACATGGGCAGCGGCAGCAAAAGAGCCAAGAGTGGACTATGTAACCAAAAGGTCGAGCCGACCAGTCTTCGAAATCAGGAAGTTGGTGGAAGTTCATATCGGGATATGCTTGTGAATATCTCTCCAAACAAAGAAGAGACGATCGAGTACAAGAACATATTTGGATAGTAGAACCGAGTAGTAGACTTAGGGCTCATCGAGCAGGGGATGGTAATTGCAAGGAAACATAATGCCATGCTCGTTCTTGTTTCCACATAAATTATGACGGAGCGGGCCGCCACCAGAGAGCTACATAGAGGCAAATTGGGGGTCGAAGGGGCTCGGCCTCTTCTACTCAACTATGATCATTTTAAGCTAGAATGTCGGAGGGCTACATAGCCCTTCGAAACGAGCATGAGACAATCAATCTCATGAAGAAAAAGAAGGTAGACATTTGTGCCCTTGTGGAAACAAAGCTCGGCTTAGCAAAACTTGCCAATATGCACGGACTTAGGTTCAAACACTAGAAATTTGCTTCTAATGCTATGGTTGCGGGTAATGCACATATTTCTCTTTTTGGAACCCTAAAACTATTATGGTTGATGTGTTAAATGTATCTATTCAAGGTTTGAATGTTTGAATCACTTACCTTATCTAGCAAACTATTTTTCATGCAACTTTCGTATATAGGTCGCACTCTATCATCTATAAAAGAGGGATGTGGGAAGACCTTTGTCAATGGCACTCGCACTATCCCCGGATTATTATGGGAGATTTTAACTCAATCCTCTCCCGAGCTGATAAACATAATGGCATTGCTTGTCTCTAACTACGAGACCTTTGATTTCCAAACTTGCTATTCCGATGCGGGGCTTTCAGACCTTAACTACACGGAAATCATTTCACTTGGCACGGGGTAGAAGTTTGGATAAAAATTGATAGAGTTTTAGCTAGCCCCCTTTGGACCTCCTCCCGAATTCCTACATATGTTCATTTTGAACCCTCGGGGTTTTTTATGACCACTCTCCAATTTTGGTTTCCTTAGGCTCTCATATGCGATCCGGTACTCCGAGCTTTAAATTTTTTAACATGTGGGTCGGCCATTCGGACTTTCTTAAAATAGTTACGGACAATTGGGCAACTAACATCGGTGGTACACCTATGTATGTCCTTTGTGGGAAGTTGAAAACCACGAAGGCTCCCTTGAAATTGTTGAACAAACTACATTTCAGCCACATATCCAACGGAGTAGCTAGAGCTAAATCCGAATTGGCTACTCTTCAAACCGAGCTTCACAATGACATGGACAACCATGGGTCGTGTGAGACCGAGAAGCATCTCCGGCTTAATCCGGCTAATCTCAAGGCTTCTAAAAAATGTTCTTTAGCCGAAACTAAAGTGCAAATTCCTCAAAGATTGTGATAAAGGAACGAGCTTCTTTCATAGTCTAATGAATCAAAAGCACAAGGTCAATCCCATTACGGCTCTTATAAGGCGCAATGGGCGACTCACTACCTCTATTCAAGAAGTTGGTGAGGAGTTTGTCTCTTATTATCAAAGCCTACTCGATCTGCTAAAGATACGGTCTCCCTAGACTCGAGTGTAATTGCTAACGAGCCTACCTTACAATTGGACATCCATGTCGCTTGCCTCGATTTCGGATCATACCATCAAGAAGACCCCGCTTAGTATAGGCAATGATAAAGCGTCGGGTCCCGATGGGTTTTCTTCTCTTTTTTCAAGCAAGCTTGGGATATCATCGGGAATGACTTATGTGCAACGAGTTAAGGATTTCTTTAGGTCTAGCAAACTTTTGCAACGGAGTTAGCCACTCAATCATAGCTTTAGTGCCCAAGCTAGCCAATGCTACTCTACCTAGTGACTACCGACCAATAGCTTGTTGTAATGTCGTTTATAAAGTAATTTCCAAGATCCTCTCCTCTAGATTGTCCGTGGCCCTTTCGGGTATTGTTAGCCCTTTCTAGAATGCTTTCTTGGCGGGATGGAAAATGTTCGATAATATCTCGCTTGGTTCAAGAATCGCTTCGCATGTATGGTTGGAAAAGAGCCTCTCCTCGTTGCCTAATGAAGATTGACTTTCGCAAGGCCTTTGACTCGGTGCAATGGGGTTTCCTTAAATAGCTTCTATTACGAGTTGGGTTTCCCGGATAGATTTGTGGGTTGGATTTGTTCATGTATTGAGTCGGCATCGTACTCCATTTCGATTAACGGGGTTTGTTTGGCTTCTTCCAAGGTAAAACGGGGGTTAGACAAAGAGATCTACTTTCTCCCTACCCTTTTGTGGTTTGCATGGAATACTTCTCTCGATTTATATAGAAAGCAACAAAAACTCATATTTTCATTTCCACCTAAAATGTGGTTTGCGGATGATGTCTTGTTACTCTACCATGGGGATACTACTTCAATTCGAATTCGACCGATCAACTCTCTCTCTTTGGTCGCACTATCGACCTAGCCATCAACGCGACTAAATCTTTAATTTTCTTTAGAGGGTGAGAGGTGATCCGAAAAATCTCATTCTTCGGGATACAAGGTTCGGTGAAGGGTCCTTTCCATTTAAATACACGGGGGTTCCTCTTAGTCCACTTCGATTACTTGCTAGCCAATTTTCTCTTTTACTTCGCAGTCTTGAATCCGCAATTCGTAGCTGGATGGGTAAACATCTATCCTATGCGGGTAGGCTAGAATTGCTCGGATCCGTCCTCTTCGACGATGGTTCAATTCGGTCGGCTATATTTCCCCGCTCGTGGTGGTTATTGCTCGTATCATCGGTATGTGTCGTAACTTTTTATGGTCCGACGATGTTAATAGAAGCACCTCGGCTCTAGTGGCTTGGAAAAGTCTATGTCTCCCTAAGCTGGAAGGCGGTTTA